AGGGAGGTGTGCTCAGAGGAAACGTAGGAGGCCACACCCACCTTGGTTGGTTGATCCCCTTCTTTGTGGCAAGAGCAGATGTCACTTTTTTTTTTTAATGTTTTAATCTCAAGTTCTTCATCTATGAGGGAGAGGTTCAAATTATTCCAAGTGATGTAACAGAAAAATCTCAGGCCTCAAAGCTGCATTTTAACCTCAGTGGAGGAAAGGTAACTATATTTTTATGGAACGTTTGGACAAAGGATGGGATATAGAAGGCATTATAGCAGCTTTCTATCAGCATAGACGGGTGTGCCACACTCCCAGGAGAAGCGACAGGACTCACTTCCAAGGGTGTGGGCAGTGTGGACAGCCTGCTTCAGACTACAAGACAGAGGGTGAGGCTTCCCCTTTCATCTTACAAAGTTATGACGTTCCATTCTCCTCTAGAAAGCACCCCCGTTTCCCATGACATGGGGTGGAATTCCCGGCAACACGGACTGCCCCACCCTTACAGGAAGAAGCTGTCTTTTGTCCCTGGTGAAGCAACGTTCTGTGGGAATGTGCCCAGCGATGGCACCTATCAAGGGAGAGATGCTGTGTGCACGCAGCAAGGGCTCCGGTACTGCGAGACACGGAAATCCTTCAGCAAAGTCATTTGCTGAAGACCCATGAGAAAGAGAGCAGTCAGTTTTATCTGATCTGAGGCGAGTCTCTGCTCACGCCCCCCAGAACCGGATGACTACAGAAAATGATCAGGTCCCATTTGACCCCAAAGAGCTAGGGAAAAAAGGTTGCTTATGATTTTACTGTTAGGGTCTCAAAAATTGGATAAAGAACTGACGTTTGAATCCCAAAGACATGTCAACTATAGTTGAGCCCAATTAAAATGTGAGCTGACAAAAGAAGTTTACAACATAACACAGGCTTCCAAAGGGCACACAGCAGAGGCCCCTGGGGCCCAAGCCCCCTTTGTGGAGTGGACAGAGATGAGCGCACACAGCACACTGTCACGGGATGCGCTAGTCACCGTCCCCTGGGTTAGAGGAGCAAGTACAATGCTCTGCAAGATAAATCTTGGCTAATCCCCACACCCAAGTAAATCTTTTAAGTCTGCAATCCGTGGCAGCATGGCTTCAATAAGCTGAATCAAGTTTTTTAAGATGAATTTGAAGGGGAGAAAATTATAAAACCATTTACTACAAACAGCAATAACATTAAAACCTTAAGTCTCCACTGGAATTATTGAGAGGCGTTACAAAGTAGGAACATTGCTGGGGTTGAATGCCCTGTTGGAGACTGGGTTTTAAAACATACTTAGACTGTGCAACCATGGTTATTTTTAGTTTCTCCTTCCCTCTGCAAATGGAGGAATGAGAAGAGAGGGAGGAATGAGAAGAGAGGAAAGAATGCTGACCAGGCAGGCAGGCAGGCAGGCAGGCAGGCAGGCAGGCAGGCAGGCAGGCAGGCAGGCAGGAAGGAAGGAAGGAAGGAAGGAAGGCAGGCAGGCAGGCAGGCAGGCAGGCAGGCAGGCAGGCAGGCAGGCAGGCAGGCAGGCAGGCAGGCAGGCAGGCAGGAAGGAAGGAAGGAAGGAAGGAAGGAAGGAAGGCAGGCAGGCAGGCAGGCAGGCAGGCAGGCAGGCAGGCAGGCTTAGAAGTAGTATGGGGAAGCGTAGGGATGGTATTGTTTTGTTCTCCTGTGTTCCTTTTGTTGCCAACTGCTATGATGGTAAAGATTTTCTTTTTTCTTTTTTTTTGTTAGTCGTGGGGCCTGAACTCTGGGCCTGAGCACTGTCCCTCAGCTCTTCAGCTCAAGGCTAGCGCTCTACCACTTGAGCCACAGTGCCACTTCTGGCTTTTTCTGCTTATGTGGTGCTGAGGAATCGAACCTAGGGCTTCATGCATGCAAGGCAAGCACTCTACCACTAAGCCACCTTCCCAGCCCGTGGTGTATGTTTCTAAGGCTGACATTAACTTCTTTTCCAAGAATACATTTGCATGATACTCAAGGAGCAGAAATACTGTTGTTCTTTGAGGGACACAGGTCAGAGAGAGAATACAAGGGACCCTTTAGCTTTGCCCAGGTCTACGTCACGAGGCTCTACATGTTTTGGCCCAGGAATACTAAAAATCCCACTGCTCTCCTTCCTTTCCTGCACTTCCCAGGCCTCAATCAGGTGCCTTACTTTTGTTTACCTCATTACATTTTCAATCCTAAAGCTCAGCCTACCAGCCAGTAGCACTGAGTAGGCAGAGAACAAGTCCAGCTACCATTGTAGCTTTGTAGAAGGGACAGGCTGGATTCCCCACTGACCTGCAGGGCCTCATATACCTTCAGGAAGTTCTGTCCTCTAAGGGGGAGGGGCGACTGGAGTCCTTATTAAAAAGTAAATGAAGGAGACAGTAAGCTACAAAGCGAAACGTATGCCAGTAGAGCACAAAATAAGTAAAAATCCTGCATGAGCTCAGTAAGATGTACATCCAAAAAGTACTCAGAGGTAAATCTGTTATATAGAAAAATGCATCAAAAGCCTGATCAGCAGCAGATAGTTAATATCCACATACAAAATGAATAAACAACCATAAAACATAAATTTTAAAAGATCTGTTCAAACTTGACCTCAGAAAGATATGAATTTTCAAGTAAAGACTAAAGGAATATATTTAAATATAAATTCAAAACCAATAAACTTTATCCCTAAATGACACACTGATACTATCATTCATGACTAAGAAAGTAATTGTTAAGACTAGATCTACTTGGTGTATTCTTTCTAAAGGTGTTGAATGGAGAAAGTTTCACAAAATTCTCTCACAATGAAAATAACAGCAACAACATAGCAAATAAGCAAATGGGAAATGTTTGAACTTACTAATAACAACCAAATATTTATAATAGGTCTTTCTTTTATCAGATATTTGCCACTAAAACTATAGACATAGTACCAGATAAGATGCAGAGAGAAGCTATCACAGACATGGGCAATCATAGTCTACCATGAGTCTGGAAAGAAATGTGGCAATGCATGTTGAGAATCTGAAAAAATCTATCACCTTTGTTTCCACTCACATAACCAAATGCTGAGATTCAGAGCACACAATAACTTTATATTCAGATAATATGATCATCACTACACATTTCTGCACATCTCTATTAGTATAAAAATGTATGGATTTCAGTCTTACTCAATTTCTAAAAGGTAGAAGTAGCCTAAATGATCAGCAATAGAGAAACAGGGCATTACTATAGGGTAGAATCTTAGGGTTCTTAAGTATCTTAAGTATTCTCTAAGTATCTTAAAAAATGTTTACATGGAATATTTCATAGCAGAGAAAACTTGGCCTGTTTAATATACCAATGTGGACATGAAACTATACATACAACATAGGTATATATTAAGCATATACAAACACAGGATAAAACAAATCGTTCAACTAGGGATACTGGTGGACCCATTGCAACAATGAGATGTACAAGTCATTATATCGTAAAACGAACTTTACAACTTTGGTGGGGGAGCGGGGAGGATGGGGGGGAGGGGAGGGAGTATGGGAAGGGAAACAAAGAGGAGGCAACAATGTTTGATAAGAAATGTACTTGGTACCTTGCCCATGTAATTGTAACTCCTCTGTACGGTATTCTCACAATAAAAAATAAAAAAAATAAAAACTAAGGAAAAAAAACCCTAAATGTTTATTAGCCTGCCACACATCATACTGAAGTATGCTCTTGCATAAGTGTGGCATCCTTACATACAATGCCGTCAAAGTAAGACAGAGAGTCCTAGCCTCCTGTCCCACATGAAGGCCACTGCCCTTGTTCCAACAAGAACGACTTAATTCCATCAAATGGTTGATTCCATACAAATGACCTTAAGTTTAACAAAATAGAGCAGTTTCTGTTTATTACATCACCCCAAAGTAATACTAGCAAACATCGTATTTGTTAGCAATCATTGCCTTGTGGATAGGGAGATGGGCCATTTCCTCCAGACCACATGGCGGGTGATGGATGTGAAAGCGGAGCTCAGAGCGGGGAACAGGCCTGTGCTCCCACAGACCTGAGCCTCGTTACCCAACTGCATGGCCTCTGTGGATCTTAAAGGAGCATATGTAAATGCTGGCTGGAGGGCTGCCCTCTGACTTGCAGCAAAATATTTAGAAGTTGTCCTCTGACAACTGCAGGTGGATGTAGCAAGCTGCTTCTCCCAGTGACTCGGCACACCGCACAAAGTGAAGCCTGCCGTCCACATTCCTTTCTGGAAACCAGTCTGGTCAACAGATGTTGTTAAGGCTTTTAGGCTTCTTTTTTTTTTATCAACATTGACGTGCAAAGTTATTAAAGAAGAGAAATGCCGTGCTACAAGTATTAATACACACTAATCGTGAATTCATAAAGGAACTTTAAGGGCCGCCCACACCAATCATGATGAGGGCTGATTTTGCTTACAGGTATGAAACAGATCATCCTTTGACTCTATTCAGTAATTCATTTTGGCATTTTACTACAATTTCCTAGCCAAAATCAGGACCAATTGCATTCTGGGCCTCCTCCTAATCAACCTCCTGGAACATGAATTAAAGCTAATTGCTTTCACTCTGTGCAGCTGAAGAGCGTAAGGAGCGTGGCCCTCAGCTGTTCCCTCTGGTGCTCCACAGGCGCCACGTCTCCAGCATTGCCCTGGGTTCCTAATCCACCCCTGGCATCGCCCTGTTCTTCCAGGATGCCACCTCCACATTCCACCTGTATCTACCTGTCCCTGCTTTGGGGGTACACATGTACGTGAACTGTCAGTAGGAATGCAGGTAAAGGTATGAATAGGGGAGATGTCTCTACCATACAATGTATGGTCCATAAAGCACTGTCACAAAGAGTGTCCATACATTGTTATTCCATTCCTAAACCATTTTACCACATTAAACATACCTGCAGGGGGGACAGCATGGGAGCAGGAAGGAGGCCACCGTGAAGGTCGGGTTGGGGGGCAGGCGGCCAGAGGGCCTCTTGTTCCCCAGCCTTACCTGATGTCTGTGCATGTGATGCAGCTGATGTCCCGACTGTTGGTGGTGATCAGGTTCAAAGCCACTGACGTGTCCTCGTCGGAAGTCGGGTGCGCTCCACATTTAAAGAAAAACTCCTGAAAGCAAGAGAAACATGGCCTCAAACGATGGCCGTTTTTCCCTCTCCACACACTGTGACAGTCAAGGATCTCTGTGGCAAGAGAGCGAGTGGGTCATGCGGCGTGAGTTAAAGCAATCAGCAGCAGTCCTCTCAGAGAAAGAACACCTTTGTCGGCCGGAGCTGCTCAGCAGGCACCCCGGTGGCCTAGAGTGAATCTAGAACTTTCTCTGCCGCAGGTCTGGGGAGCCACACTGTGTGAGCAACCCCAACACGGTGCAGGAGCACTCACGGCAGGGAGGCGCGGGGGCAGGAGGCCAGCGTGTGCCGAGTTCAGCCTCCCAGAATTCCCGGAGGCCTGGCTCCCCCCCCCCCCCCCCCCCCCCCCCCCCCCCCCCCCGCGTTCCCACGCGCCTTCCACCTTCTGGGGTCCTCCCCCAGCCACATCCTCCCCAGCCACGCTTACTTCAGCGTTACCACATAGAGGGTGCTCTCCTGATCACCATGCGTTTTCCTATTAAAACTTCCTTCCTGTTCTAAAGTCAGTGTGCATCCTCACACCCTTCCTTCCGCTCACAGACACAGCGCGTGTCAAGCTGGTTGCTGCTCTGAGTCTTGTGCAAACATCTCTACATATCCCACGGCGGTGGGTCACAGTGCCGCCTTTTCTGCTGGAGTGGTCACCCGTACAATGGGCACTGTACGAGGTGAAGCCAGCGGCGGGCACGTGCTGCCAACCCCCTCAACACAGCCACCCAGCCAGCAGAGAGGGCTCCCCCCAAACCCCAGGCCTGGAGTCTCCCAGCTCCACGGAAAGCTCCAGACAGAAAATATTCACCGTTTCCAGCTCCGTGGGCCCTGGGGGCTCCGTCATGTGTGTCTAAAAGCCACCACCGATGCGAGCGGCATGGGGCACAAACGCACCTGATAAAACTTTATTTACAAAATGAGCGGCAAGGGTGGATTCTGCTGTGAGCCAGCCAGTGTGGCAGGATGGGGAATCTGTGGAATGCCTTATTCGGGTTTGTACCCCGACCCCGTCTGGCATATGGCTAGGGGTAAGAAATGGCTTCTACAATGAGGAATTAGAATATTCCTCTGACAGATGCCACCTGTCCCCTCACCCAGTTGGAAGCCCACTTGATTCGTCCTCTCCTCGTGGAAGCCTGACTAGGCCCGTCCTCCATCAGCCGGGTGAGACCGGCGGCCAGGCCTGCTCTCCTCCACTGCTGAGCAGCCAGGCCCTGGGCCCCGCCCCGCCCGCGCCCCGGGCCCGCCCGCGCCCCGGGCCCGCCCTGGACAGCTGGCCCACCTCCAGATTTTCCCAAATTCTGGGAGTGCTCAAGGATTTTTCATGTCTTACTTCTTACCAGCTGCAGGGCGATGGGGTACAACTGGGCTGAGCACCCCTGAACCCCTCCGTTACACCAACGTCCATGGCAGGGTGAGTAAGACTCACAAACATGAGTCAGCTGCACCTGCTGCCCTCCAGGGCAGGCGTCTCCGTCAACCCTCCTCCCGCAAGCCCTTGCCCAGGTGTGGCGCATTGACCCTCTTCCTAGATGCACCAGCCTGTCCAGGCTATGCTTCCCTCCAGCAGCATGGAAACTGCATCCTGGCTGGGGATCGGGCGTGGCTCTTTTACTGAACCTGACACACCAGCTTTTTCAATCACCCTTTGGAAAGGCTGCAGATCCTTTGAGGGCCGGCTCCGGGGTGCTGAGACGATTTAAGATACTTCGTGACTGACTCTTAGGAAACATACTGAGCTAAAATTGTCTCCTGCAGACGTGTAAAAGGTCTTCATTGGGAACAAAAAGTCATCCCTCCAAAACTGCTGAGCTGGCAGCCCCACTGGAAACGGGTTTCAATGCAGATAGAAAGATGGGACATATTTGTATTTTTCTTAACTTGAAGGAACCTGCTGGTAGATGTTCAGCTAACAAGTCACATATTGTTTTAACAGCAGATAAAAGGCAGCTAGATAAGAACCCAAGCATTGTTTTCACTGGGGATGGATGTATATGGTGCTGTAAGAAGTTACAGATATCTGGAAAGTTCTAGTAATTCATACAGGGGGATTAAACTAACATACAGAATGTTAACTATACTAAAACGTCTGGTCATCAGTGAACTTCAGTGCTTTCTTCACTAAGTGTCCTCTGGTTTTCTTTCTTATCTTTTGGTGGCATTGAGTTTGAACTCAGGGCCTTGCGTTTGCTGGCAAGCACTCCGCTGTGAAATCACAATTCCAGTTATTTTTGAGATCAGGTCTTGCTTCCTGGATGGATATGTGTCTGGGCCACAGTTCATTTTTTTCAGGCTTCCCATCAAAGCTGGAATGACAGTCGTAGTCAGCTTCTTCCAGTGAGGTGGGATCGCATGGACTTCTCTGCCCCGGTGGCCTGGAACCTTGGTCTTTCCAATCTCAGCCTCCTCCGCAGCTGGGATGACAGATGTGAGCCGCAGGCACATGGCTTATGAAAGACCTTTTCATGCCATTTGTAGAAGAACTGTCAAGAAATATGTAGGATCTGCGGTTTTCACCAGCTTGCAAGCTCATGCCTTGGACGCTCACAGAGGATGGGAGACCTTGGGTCCAGGATAAGGCGCTGTCCAAGTCAGCACAGGCAGAAGCAGGAGCGTTTGTTCTGACACTGTGGGAACACAGATGTGAGCGACGCACAGCCCAGAGCCTGGACTGAGGAAGCTCAGAACTTCATAAGAAGGTGCGTGACTGTGACACTGGATGATAACACTAGAGGCAGGAGCTCTCCCTTCCAAAGTCATTAGCGCCTCCTTCCTGAGATGAGCAGAAACAGATACTATGAACTGTCCCCTCTCCATCCTACTAATGTCTTGGCTTCAAGAGCGATTCCTTAGTAAAGGGATCCAGTCCTTTCTCCGAATCTACAAACAGTGAGACTTCCCACAATAAAGCCAAACACACACGAAGCGAGGAGGTTTTCCAGGATTCTATTCAGGACTTTCTGGGTTCCTCACGAGGCCTGCTGGTGAGCATCTTCTCCCAGGCAGGTGCAGGGTTCCTCAGAAGCAATTATCTGCAAAAATCGACTTTTAAGAAAATCAAGGAAGCCAGAGCCAGGGGATCCTCCAGCCAGAGTCCACGCAGGTCCAGCAGAAAGCCAGGGCCTCTGGGAACTCTTGGACCTAAAAGTGGTTCAAGAAACAGCTCAGGTGGGACTGGGGGGAGGGGCCACAGTGAGGCCCAAGGGCTGGGCTGCCTAGAGGTGCTGCTCCATTCCGGTAGACATGGGGGTCCGGCAGCAATGTTACCTCGGGTCACCATGGAGGTAGTGCTGGGAGAGAAAGGTCCAGCAAGAAGTCAGCGCTCCATTCTGGGGAGGCCCATGCAGAATCCTCACATGCCACTCCTAGCTGGTGACAACATTTGGGTTGTCCTCCATGAAGAAAAGGGAGTGCTCTTGCATTGCCCTGCAAGTGAGGCCAACCACACAGAACATCCAGTGTCTGTGCACACTGACTTTGAACTCAGGGACACCTGTCCGAAGATTATGCACTCAATTTCCAGTGAGTTTAACCGGAGAGACAAGGACATGCCATTGCCCATGAGATCAGTGAGCACTAAGCCCATCAGATACGGCAAAGAGTTGCTCACAGTCACCTGCAACACAAATCAATCTGAAAGCCTCCCACAGACCTGGACATCCTGGCCCTACCCCAAAGCAGCAAACTTGCCACAGCTCCTCCCTATTGACACCCTCTGAAAACACCCAACCCTTAAAGCTACCCATCCATCTATCCATCCATCTACCCATCCATCTACCCATCCATCTACCCATCCATCTATCCATCTATCCATCTATCCATCTATCCATCTATCTATCTATCTATCTATCTATCTATCTACCATGTATGCATGTATCATCTATCATGTATGTATATATCTATCATTTATCATGTGTATATCATATGTATGTATCTCTCAAGTATGTATTTATCATCTATCATGTATGCATGTATTCATGCTTTTTATCTATCTATCTATCTATCCTTCTATCTATCTATGCTGGGATAGAACCCAGGGCCTCAGGCATGCTAGGCGAATGCTCTACCACTGAGCTATATCTTTAACTCTGTTTTCAATCTTATTTTCCATTAAGAAGTTTCATCATTCATGTTAATATTAAAGTGTTAATGTTACCCAAGTTAAAACGTGTTCAATAAAGCATCACTACAGCCCCTCTGCTGAGCGGGAAGCTGCAGAGCCCGGCGCTGCGGGGAGAAATTCTGGAAGTCATCGTCGCAGTTTCAGAATACCTACACCTTGCTAGATTCATACTTTGTTAATTTAGCAAAGCCAGTTTCAAAAGTCGGTTGCACCTAGATTAACAAACAAAAAGTTAATGAGTTTGCCATCATGCTCCACAGCCGCCATGTTCTACAGTCGTCATGCTCTAGAGTAAGTTTGCTTTCTCTTAGCAGGATGTGGACGAACCTCTCGATGATCTGAAAAGAAGAAAACCGATTTGTTTCTACACAAAGGGGACGCAGTCTGTCACACTGGGAGGGGTTCCCGGCCGCCGCGCTCCTCACCCACTGCCGAACCCTGGAGGGCCGAGCTGTATCCCCCAAGCTTTCCAGTCAGGACACACGCATGTGCGCTTCCCCACGTGCACACATACCTGCCCCTCCCCCACACCTGTGCAGGCACCCCACCTGCGTGCACGCAGACCCTAAGCAAAGCCAGGCTTCTGATCTGAATGACCGGCCTTCACCGGCAGCCAGTCCACACCGTGGCCATGGTTCCTTCCCGCGTCTGGCGGCACGGCCTGCCGTCCGTGTTTCAGTACTATTACTGTGACATTTCAAATGTGGCTCTAAAGTTAGATTTTATTACCAAGCAGTTAAAGGTGCTCAACACACAATAAAAAACCTTTTACAAACCCTATAATCCAAGGGACTTGGAAGATGCAGAGCTCCTCCCGCCCCCCCAGATAATCAGCCCTGAAGTTTACCTACGGAGAGGTCTGAGAC